AATCCAGAGAAAGCAATGACAAACCACTTTAGTATTTTTCCCAAAAAAAAAAACCCAAACAGGATCACAAAGAGTCAGACGTAACTGAAACAACTAAAAGACACCACTTACCTCACAGAGTTACTTAACAGAGCTAAAGGAGATAGTAAATGTCAAGGAAGGGAATAAGCATTTATATAATTAACCAGGCATTAACAGCACGTTGTTAAATGCTTTGCAAATATTATCTCTGATCCTCACAACAGCCCTGTGAGGTAGGTATTATTATTATCCCCATTTTATAGCAGAGGAAACTGAAGCAAACAAAGGTTAAGTGATCTGCCCAGAGTCTCACAAGTAGTGAGGGTCTGAGTCCAAATGTGAACTCACCTCTTCTTGACTCCAGGCCCAGCACTCTATCCACTGAACCACCAAACTGTGTCACAACGTTATCCATAGAATTAAAGGAGATAATACATGTCAAGGACTAGTCACTAATCAATCACCCAACATTTATTAAACACTTACTGTATGCTAGACATTGTGATAAGCCATGAAGGTATAAACGAGGCAAAAATGGTCCCTGCCTTCAAGGAATCTACACTCTAATGGAGGGAGACAATATATAAATCATTAGATGTGTATATAGATGTAGATATAGAGATTAGGTACATAAAGAGTAGAAGGGCAGTAACCTTAGAGAAGAAGGCTGGAATAAATAGGGAAGATTTCCTGAAGAAGGAAATGTTTGAGCTGAGTTTTTAAGAAAGACAAGAATTCTAAGAGGCAAGAGAGAAGGGGGGGAAGAGAGACAGATAGGGAGAAAGAGGGGGAGAGACAGAGAGAAGGGAGAGAGGGAGAGAAGAGAGGGAGGGAGAGACAGAGAAGGGAGAGAGACAGAGAGGGAGAGGGACAGAGAGGAAAGAGAGAGAGATGGTGGGAAGGTAAGAGGGAGGGAGGGAGACAGAGATGAGAGAGACAGAGAGGGAGAGACAGTGACAAAGAGAAGGGAGAGAGACAGAGGTAGAGAGAAGGAGAGGAGAGAGAAAGAGACACAGAGAGAGAATGAGAGAATGCAAAGGTGCAGAGAAGAGGAATGAGGTGCTGTGTGTAAAGACCAGCCAGGAGGCAAGTACGGCTGGATTGCAGATTACGTGGAGGGGGCTGAAGTGTAAGGAAACTGAAAGGGTCCAGGCTGAAAAGAGCTTGAAATGCCGAACAAAGGGCTTCATACTGCATCCTGGAGGTAGAAGGGAACTGACCACTGGAATTTATTGAGGAAGCAGGGGATGTGATCAGACCTACAGCACTAGTAGCTCTGTGTATGTTTTTAAATTCCTGCTGCATCAATTTCTCTTGTGTCTTATCAAGTCCCTTAATCCCTTACATTGCCTTGGCAGTTTTGACTTTCCAAAGAATTTCCATATGCATCATTTTGTGACTGTCCCCTCATCAAAATCCTAGAGGTCAGTCAAGGCTCAAAAAGCCAACTGTGCCTTCTTTCCCTGGACAGGAGCTTGAATGGCTTTTGGAGATCAACCGTCTAACCCATCGGCTACTGTGTAAGCACATGACCCTGGACAGCTTTGACGCCATGTTCCGGGAAGCCAATCACAATGTTTCTGCCCCTTATGGCCGCATCACCCTCCATGTGTTCTGGGAGCTGAACTTTGACTTCCTCCCTAACTACTGCTACAATGGATCCACTAACCGGTAAGAAGGTTTCTGTGAAGGGTAGAGAGAAGCTGTGGGGTTTTGCTTCTAGGGCAGATGTGCATGCATAGCGAATGTGTCTACAATGAATGTTAAGCACCTGCTGTGTGCAAAGCACCATATAGGCACTACGGGAGATCCAGAGTTAGGTAAGGTATGGTCTTTACCCTTTAGCAGTTAAAGTCTAGTAGGGGACTAAAACAACAACATAGGTGATAATGGACAATATTATATGATTGATGCATGAACAGGGGTACAATACAAAATACTGAGGGGAAGGGGTCATTACCAGCTGGAGAGGTCAGGAAATAATGCCAGAGGAGATGGCATTGGATTGGATTTCAAAGGAAGAAAAAGAAGGGAGGGGGCAAGAATAAGCTTTTATAAAGCACCTACTATGTGCCAGGCATTGTGCTAAGCTCTTTACAAATACTATCTCATTTGATCCCCACAACAACCCTTCAAGGTAGGTGCTGTTATTATCCTCATTTTACAGTTGAGGCTACTAAGACAAACAGAGGTGAAATGACTTCCCCAGAGTCACACAACTAGTAAATATCTGAGGTCAGATTTGAACTCAGGTCTTTCTGACTCAAGGCTCAGTGCTCTATCTGCTGTACTATCTGTAAGGGCATTCCTAGCATAGGGGACAGCGTGAGAAAAGACAGAGAGGCGTGAAGATTGCCTGCTGGGGAGCATAGAGTTAGTTGCCCTGCTTGGCCAGTGTATACAGTGCATCGAAGGATGTAATAGGAGATAAAATCGGAAGGTTCCAGGCTGTGAAGGGCCTTGAACATCAAGCAGAATTTACATGAATGAATGAATGAAATAGCATTTATTGAGTGCTTACGAAGTGCCAAGGACAGCAGTAGGGATACAATTAGAAGAACAAATAGACCTTGCTCACCAGAAGCTCACATTCTAACTGGGGGACATAACACATAGAGGACCCATGCAAATACACAGCTGTATAGTACTCATGTTCATGAATATATATATGCATATCCCAATATGCCTGTTTATAACTGCAATCAGTCAACAAACATTCCTCAAGGACCTACCACGTATATGGCATTGTACCTGCCTAGTATTGTAGGGGATACCAGAACTCATGTTTCTGTAGTGCTTTTCCTCACTATGATCCTATGGGGTTGGTAGTGTAAGTACTGTTATTATTACCTGTATATTATAGGTATAATGAAATTAAGGCTTTGAGAGGTTAACAGATTTGACCAAGTCATACCATGCAAGGGAGTGGTGGAGTTAAATCCTAGCTGCATGCTCTACACACAAAGGAGGGTACAAGACATGACCCCTTGTTCTCTAAGAACTTGCATTCTAGGTGGAGAATCAATCATGTTCACAAATATCACAAAAATCACAAATAACCGTGATACTCAGGGAACTTGAATGTGCAGAAATGTGTATATTCGTAGATACATCCAGATTTCATTCATAAGATGCCCATAGGCCCACCTTTTTATACACAGACACAACAGAATACACATGTCAGAACGGGTGTTTAATTCCCTTGAGATTCTATCCTCCTTGTATCCTGGAAAAACAAATTTAGAGAGACAGCTTGACATATTAGAATGGTCAGACAACTTGAATTAGAATCTATTCTCTGCCATTTATTAGCTGTTTGACTATACAAGTCACCTCCCCTCTCTGGGTCTTCATTTCCTTATGTAAAAAGGGGGAAGAGAAGCAACATTGTGTAATATCTAGAAAGCCAGCCTTGAAGCCAGGAAGACTTGGGTTCAGGTCCTGCCTCTGACATTTTCTGTGACCCTGGGCAGATTTCAGTTCTTTAGGCTAGCAGTGTCAAACATGCAGCCCGATTATAGCCAGAAATACTCCCTAGTAGAGCCTAAATCAGGTGAAAATGCAATTGGAAAATACTTAACAAAATAAGCAAAAAGACAGTAAAGCATAGATAATGTTGATATGGGGCATCTGGGTGGCGCAGTGGATAGAACACCAGGCCTGGTACTAGCTGTGAGACCCTGGGCAAGTCATTTAACACTGTTTATCTCAGTTTCCTCATCTATAAAATGATCTGGAGAAGGAAATGGCAAATCACTCCAGTATTTTTGCCAACAAAACCTGAAAAGGGGTCAGGAAGAGTCAGACACGTGACCAAACAATAAACAAAATGTTAATATGTGGTTTTCTGTGTCCATGTGAATGGGCAGAGATCCATATGCATGGTTAAAATGGCCCTATTTCTATATGAGTTTGACACTGCTGTACTAGGTATCTAAGACTTTAAGCTGAAAGTGCCAACATGCACATGTAAGGTACCCTTCCTTACTAGGGAGTTCTGTATACATAGGAAATCACAAGTCAAGTCCCTAGTCTAATTATTTACCTCTATATACACAGTCACATATGTGTGTGTTTACAAATGGACACCTGTGTGTGCATACACATGTATGTAGGTGGAACATAAGGAAATGGTGATAAAGGGCTAGAGATTCAGGCCCTGTCTCTCCCTCTGAGTTGCTGATTGCATACAGGCAAATCCATCACTTATTTCAGGCTGTAGTTTTCCCGTCTGTGAAGGGAGATAATAATACCTTAATGAGAGAATGTCTGAGGAAAAGGAGAACCTTGAAAGGCAGGTGCTTGATAATCATGACTGTTGCTATTTTAGGGTGGTATTTTTTTTTTGCTGATTCTAACAGAGTACTCTCCACTTTGGACCCAAACATGGGATTTCTTGGACCCTAACCCTCCTCTCAATTTACTTGACCTTGATAAGCATACAGCTCCCTAAGCAGATAGCCAGCTCTGCAAACCCATCTCAGTTTTCTATGGCCACATGACCCTTTCAGTCTTCAAAAAAGAAAAGTGGAAAAGGGACCTATACCATCCATCCCTGAGCTTTGCCACATACACACAGACTAGGTGGTTAATAAACATTGATTGAATATGATAGCACATGATACGATGGTCCAAACCTATTCTCTTCATTCTGTTCAGAAAGGGCTTTGTTGCAGCACATTCCCTGTGTTGGGATTTCAGAACACATCTAACTCTATCTAACTCTTGGTCCCTCTCTTCTCCTCTGTCAGCTTTGTCCGAACAGCCATTCCCTTCACCCAGGAACCACAGAGGGACAAACCTGCCAACGTTCAGCCATACTACCTCTATGGGTCCAAGGTCAGTGATATATCAGCACACTCCTTATAAAACTGTCAGTAGGATAACCCACATCAGCAGATCACATGAAGGGAAGTGTCTTCCAAGCTAGGAGCTAAATCAGGCATAAGGCTTAGAGATAAAAGGACTTCAAAGAGAAATAAGGATACTAGAGTCTTTTTAAAATCAGCTTTAGTCAGGCTGAAAATCTGGATCATGCGTGGCAATGTAAAGACATGGTATTTTATTATATACTTGTCACGTACTATCAGGGAGGGCTTGGGGATGGGAAGAGGGTGTACAACGACTCTCTCTGAGCTTGGTTGCCCCATCGTGATTCCTTCTTGTTTTACTAATTACAGGGTGCTCATATGATCCTATGACTGCTGGGTGATGGCATGGCAGTGGAGTGGAGGGAAGGGAATGGATAGTAGGGACATAAGGTATATCTATCTTTGCTCATTGGCTTCAGCCTTAAGGACCACATCTTAGGCTCTCATCTCACACTGGTGCAGCCCAGGCTCCAAGATGGTTCTCCTCTTCCTTTCCTCCTATTTATATTCACATGCATGGATCTAACTTAAGCCCTCATGCTCCTTTTTGGACCACCAGCCACAACCATTCACTGATACTTGGAGCTTACATGGGGAGGCAGTTTCTTGTCAAGGGACTTTGTAACAGGAGAAACAAAAGAGCTGAAGATTTCAATTATTAAGGAGATTATAATTACAATAAATCCCACCAAAATTCAAGAATAATTTTTTTCCAGTTCAACAGAAATCTGCCACTATTAACATCAAGATCCTTCTCAAGCATCTGGCTTGGGACTCAGGGTCCATAGAAACAACCCACAATAGAAAGAAATTGTGTGATCTTGGGCAACAGCGATGACCTATGTTTGTCTCATTCTTAAAAGCTTATTAAGTCCTTTCTTCTCAGCACCCTTGTGAAGTGGAGAGTACACAGATTTCTCTTTGGTTTTGTTCTTGACTAAATCTATAATTTCATTGGCACAGGGTGCTCCTCAGGAAGAACTTCCACCAGGATCAACAACTGTTCCACAACTTTTAGTTTGAGAAAAAAAAATCTCCTGGAACATTTAGAGTTCAAATGACTTGCCTAGGGTCATATAGCCAGTATGGGTCCAGGGTGGGACTTGAATTCAGGTCTTCCTGCCACCCAGGCCAGCTCTCTGTCCAGAATGCCACACTTCCTCTCTAGTACAAATGTTACTGTCGTCATTTTATAAAGGAGGAGATGAGGACCACTGGGTTTAATTGACTTGTCTATGGCCACATATGAGCTGGAACTCAGACTCAAATTTTTTTTAAATCTAAGACCAGTCCTCTTTCCACTACACACACTGACTAAATTCATACAATCTCTCTAAGACTTCACTTCCTCCAATGTAAAATGAGAGGTGGGGGGTGGTTGGACTAGGTAATCTATGAATTACCTTCTGCCTCAAAGATTCTCTGACTCTACACCCCACCTCTGCCTTCTCCCCTTCCAGATTATAGGGTGGATGAGCTGAGAATATGTAGAGGCCACCGGGTGCTAGAGGCCCTGGGGGCTTTGTATAGCATTGACAGTGGGCCGACCTATTTATATCCCTGGGCATTTACCCAGACCCTAAACTGAGACTTCCCTGGCACAGGAAGAAAAGGAGTTTTTGGGGTTTTTTTATAAAGGAGGAAAAAAAATCAAACAATATCACTTAAGCACATGTCATGAAATTGGCTGTGCTCTGTTGGCACGTCTCTTTTGAACCACTCATCCATCATTCATAGCCCATAATGAGGAACTACAACAGCTTGATCATGAGTCCCCTTGTGGGAGAAATGGGCAGAGGGAGAGTCGTGGGAGCTCTCAGGTGTGGTGCTAGAACTCTTGGTCAGTAGTGCTGTCATGGGGAACTCCTGCAGGTCTTCCCCCCTCTGCCCAAGGCCCAGAGCCCCCTCAGCCCACCTCACCAACTCATCAGCTTCCTCCTGCTGGCTTGAGTGGTATGTCCACCGTGGCTCGTGGCACCTCAGACACCAGAACTGGAGACAGAAGAAGGCTAAGATGGCCATGAAGCAGGCAAGGAGAAGAGCCGTGACCACCCAGAGAGATACGCCAGGATCCAGCTGGGAGCCATGAGCAGCTTTGGAGCTTTTATCCAAGGTGTGGAACATAGTACAGTGGTTGGCGGAGGGGTAGGAATTCTTGCAGGTGATGCACAGAAAGTAGATTGTAGACGGAGCGAGCTGGCGAAGGACCAGGGAGCTGACGGTTCGGGGCACCCTTTCTTCATGGTGAAAGGGGTGGCGCAAGTAGCCTGAGAAGATGCTGTTCCAGTTGGGCCTATACATGATGTGGTAATTATTCTCCAGACAGGGCTCCAGCGTGGACCAGGAGATAGTTGCTTGGGTATAAGAAACATTTTTAACTTCAACGTTCATCATGTCTCTGAAATCCAAAGCACAAGAAAAGATTAATTCTCCTTACTCTGGTAAATCTACATCCCAAGGAAAGTAACCTGAAGAGGACTAGCAAAGCAGGGCCTGGCTTGGCCAAGATGTACTTTTCATGAAGACTTATGGGCAATTCAGACATTTAGTAAAGAGCCTGTTATGTGCAGAACACTGTCCTCGGGACTGGGGGAGATGCAGAGCTTAATTAAATAAGACACAGTTACTGACCTCATAGTACTTGCAGTCTGGGGAGACAAAGGGGAAACGACTAAAATACCAGCTACAGTCAATCCAGTGAACATCTGTGAAGGCCTTGCTGACAACGCACTCTGCTAAGAAATCCTAAACATGGTCACTGCCCCCGAGGAACTCACATTCTGCTGAGGAGAGAGAATGGGAGAGGAGAGGAACAGCGTCTTAACAGAGAAATATAGAGGTAGGGACTGGACCTGTATTTCATTGCCATGGGGAAATCTCAGGTGAAGAAATGCATTCGGCCAGTGCAGGCCAGCTCCTCTACAATCTGTAGTCTTAGAGAGTTGCCTAGAGTGCTAAGTTCAATGACTCATACTAAGTTATGTGACCAGGATGTGTCAGAGGTAAAACTTGAACCCAGATCTTTCTGACTTCAAGGGCAGCTCTTTAGCCATTGTGTCATCAAGCTGCTTCTCGTGTATGATGAGGGCCTGGGAGACAGTCTAGGCAAACAATGCCAAGTAAGTGGAAAGCCTCTTCAGTAACACCCCCTGCTACTGCCTCACCTCATCTGAGTATGGGGAGAAGCCTGGGATCTTGAAGGCTATAACAGTGAAGTACAAATCGTAGCAAGTCCTATCAAGTGGCCAAGGGTTTGACTGTGTGCCCAGAGATGGACTGCAGGCATATCCTTTCAACATGAGCTTTGCTAAGTCAATCGATCAATCAGACAGCCGATATTTATTAAGTGCCAGGCACTGTGCTAAGTGCAACAGTTTGGAGAGACGCCTCTGGTTGACCACCAGATGATGAATTTTTTTTTGGTCACAGTAACTCTCCTAAGTTGGAGAATGTTTCCCGAATCGTGGAGCAGCTGTAATCAATGTTGTTTAATGGAATACTCCCATTTCACCGCCATGAAAGAATAGGTCTATGGAATTTTTAAAGTAAACATAACCTAAGGTCTGTGTGAGATTTGGGGTTGGGAGGGAAGCCATTACCCTTTTCCAGGGTTAGTGGTAGAAATCAAGGAAACTTGATTTAAAGTGGAGGTGTTATTTAAAGTAAAGGATGGGTAAGAATTCAGCAGGGGCGGGGGAGGGGGGAAGGAGAAGGGGGACTAGATAGAGAAGTGCATTAGAAGTATAGGGATTAGTATGAGCAAAGGCATGAAAAGAGGTAAATTCAGGGCATGTAGAAGAGAAAGTGATTACCTGGAGGAAGATTAATGTATGATAAGGTTGGAAATATATGGGGCCAGATTGTGGAAGGTCTAAAAATCCAGGCTCAAGAGGATGGGCTTTACTTAGTATGTGATGAGGAGTCGTGCAGGACTTTTGAGCAAGGAAATGAAATGATCAGTTCAGTGTCAAAGACATGGATGAGTCTGGCAGAGTACAAGGGATGTCTCTGGGGAAGGAGAAAGAGCAGAATTGGTAATATTGGTTAAGAGGCTATTGAAATAGTAAGAGAGAGTGGTAATAAGGGCCTATGCTTATGTGGTATCTGTGGGAATAGAGAGGAGGGGTTGGGATGTGAGACGCTGCAGGGGTAGCATCGATGAGAGTAACTAATTAAATGTGAGAGCCGAGGGAGGGGAAAGAGAAGAGTGAAAGGAAAAATATACAGTTGAAGGGATGGAAGGATTGAAATGACCTCAGCCAGCTTGGTTTAGCTCAGAATGATCTTCTGGTCCAAACTCAGAGCAGAGCAGCCCAGGGCTCTGGGAGGCCCTGCCTAAGGTAGATGTGGACAATATTAGCATAGGAGAGACTTAGGGTCTTTGGCACAAATGGGGGATGGGCAATTCTGGGTATTGACCCCCTCCCAGTGGCAGCTGGGTCAACAATAAGTAGGTCTAAACCCCCTTTCACCACATATGCCTTTTCCTTTTTTCCATCTCTCCCTCTCCATTTCACATCTCCTCCCTTCCCTCTTCTCCTCCTTTTCCTTCCTTCCCCCTCTCTGCATTCTTCCCATCTGCTTTGCCTGGGCTATGGGATGCAGTGGTCACCATGGGTATTAGGCAACCTCATCTAGCTACGCAGGCTAAATAGGAGGGAGCTTTGCCCTGTTTGAGTAACAATAGTTCTCCCCTGTTCTGTTCATGTGAATATCTTTGAATGGTCTAAAAAGGGAACATTTTTAAAAGGATGAGGAGTGGAGATGAGGCAAAACCACAAGAAGCTTCAGGCTTAGTCACTGGAGCTCCCAGATACCTATTCAAATTCAATTTATGCCGCTTCTTCCCTCTGTGATAGCTCCCGTTTGTCTAGTCATTAGGCTTTAAAATGCGTCATGCCTGATAACATGGGAGAGGGCTTTGTGCCATACAGCTCCTGTCTCACAACATGGTGCACCCAGCAAAAGCCAACTTAACAACCCAAGGCAGCCAGCCCTTCGCAGTGGGGCACATCCGAAGACAGAACTGCTGTGCTCTGCCTGGATACCCCAGCAAAACTCAGGGCTGCTGGTGGGAAAAGGCCTGGCTACCAGGAAAGTTCACCAAGTCAAGTAAAACCCCAGAGGCTCCCCTGAAGGGAGAAAGAAGGGAAGCCACGATTGCTTCTTTTCTGCCAACTTGTAGACTTCAAGCTGGAAGAAATCTTGGGAAGCCTTCTATTCCAACCCCTTCATTTTACAAACAAGGAAACTGAGGCCCAGAGAGGTTTAGTGACTTTCCTCTGTACCATTCCCCCTGTACTTCCTGAACTCCCTCTGTAAGTTCTTACTGTAACATTAGGAAACAGCCATACTCAGTATATGCAGATCTGGGTACAAATCTCCCCCCATACACACACACACACTGTTTCTGATCACCATAAGACAGTAAAAATTAGACAATCCAATGTGAACTTGAGTTCACCAAGGGGCTGTTATTTTATTATTTCCCCATCACCACCTCCTTATAACCTTGCCTGTATCTCTTAAGGGAACTGAACCACAGGAAACTATATGGCACTGAAATGATTTTCCAGGTTTTGCTTTTCATCCGAGCTCACAGCACTCAGGCTTGGAAATATCACTTCCATTTAGCTGAGCATCCCTTCCCTGAATAATGGGTTCTAAAGGGATTCATTAAGTGCTTTCAAGCCCTGTCTCTGAGAGGTTATTCCAGACCTGCATCTTGGAACTGTCCTTCATTCCCTCCCTTCTCTTATCTCCTCCCATACAGCCACATATTCTCCCCATCCCAATTTGACTAGGCATGGAGGACCCAATTCATTTACATAGAATATCCAGTGGCACGGACTTTGGAGAAGATCCAGTTTTACTGTCATTATGTGAGTTGAGGAAGTGGAGGCCCACAGCAGTAAAATGATTTGAAATGGATATGTAGCTCCATAGTGGAAGATTTGGGATATGAACCCAGGGCTGCTGACTGCCAGGCCTGTGATTTTTCCATTACACAGCCTTGCCCCAAATCTATGCTGTTCATTACTTTAGATGCATAGGTGTACCCCATGGCAGTAAAAAAGAGCCTCTTTTCTCTTCATTCTGGCCCAGGGCCATGGTACATTGGCTCACTTGACAGAGTTCCCTAATAAAGCCTCTTCCAGTTCCTCAATAAATAAATAGATATAATTTACGTAAATGTATATTTCATATACGTACATATTTATTTATTCCCTGCCTCTCTGGATGAATGCCTACCTCCTTTAATTCAGCCTCATTCTCCCATTCTCCCCTCACCCTCATTCCATTGTATTCCTACCTAAGGCTTTTTTGTTTTCCTCTCTGGTTTTGTTCTTAAAAGCCGTGACTTTGTGGTTCACTCCCTGGTTCCCTCCTGTGTTCCAAGTAATGACTGGGGTTTCTCCAGACAGAGCATGAGAAAGAAAGGCTGTGTATCTTACCTTACAAGTTCCCTTCCCTGGAGAACTATTCAGCCAGAGCCCAGCTCTCCGTGATAGAGCAGACAGAAAGCAGAATTAATGACACTTTTCCTTCTCTTCCCTCACAGTTGGGGTCCCTCCCCAATGTCTCTTTTGCTGCTGACTGAGAAAGCCCATTGCCACCCCTACCCCTCTCCAAGCTTTGTATTATACATTTCTTCAGCGTCAGCATCCCTCACCATGGCAACCAGTGGGACCTGTGCGCACATCGTTTTCAGGGAGCCAGTCAGTGGTCTGTCTCCTGAAAGCCTGCAGCCCTGGGAGGGGGAAAATTCTCTTTTCTATTTGGACAAAGAGTTAAAAAAAAAAACTTGGGAAGAATCAAATTTCATGCTTGCCTTGGTTTTATCTCTTCATTATTACTCCTATTTCTCCATATTTTTCTTTGCTCACTTTAACCATGATTGAAGATTTAAGAGAACTCATTTTAGTTTTTTGTGGCAAAAATTACCTTCCCTTCTTACCCCCACTCATCTGAATTGCACCTACCTTCTCTCCTCCCCCACTCAACTCTTCACCTCCATAATATCTTTTCTATTCCTTTACTTTTCACTCTGTTATTGTGCATTAGTTATGCAAGCTTGGGCTTGGCTTAGCCATTTAACCATTCAGACAGGGTCTCAGTTTCCTCTCTTGTAAAATGAGAGGGTTAGAGCCTTATAAAATGAGAAGGTTGGGAACCTGCAGCTCTGAGGCCACTTGTGGCCCTCTAGGTCCTCAAGTGTGGCCCTTTGAGTGAACATTCACATAACATTCTATGAAATTTGGAGCCAGTCAAAGGGCCACACTTGAGGACCTGAAGGGCTACATGTGGCCTCGAGGCAGCAGGTTCCCCGCCCCTGGGTTAGACGATTTGATCTCCAGCGTCCTTGAGTCCAGTGATTCTGGGATTCTTTTAGTGATTCCATGCTCCCTTTCTCCACAGCAGCATGTTCTGGCTGTGAGATCGCAGCTCCTTTCATCCCTATCCTCCATATGCCCTCAGCTCCAACATTTACTGGTTAGTGACCATGGGCAAGTTACTGACTCCATCTGAGTCTCAGTTTTCCAATCTCCAAAGTGGGGGTAGTGCTTTTTGCACAAACTACCCCTTAGGATCATTGTGTGGAAAGTGCTTTGTAAATCAGAGAGAGTTATAGACATGTGAACTATTATTAAATGTGTCAACCTTTCTGTTTCCTAGCCTCTGTTTTCTGTCACCCAAACAAGTAGATTCAAGAAAGCAAGGACTAGAATACTTTTTTTTTCTTGGTTTGGTTTCTTAATCCTTGTCTCAAGATTTCCTCATCTGAGAAATGATCACTTACTTAAAGGTCAGAGCCAGAGTGGTCCTGTGAGGTTGGCTAGCTCAACCTCCTCATGTTACAAATAAGGAAATTAAGTCCCAGAGAATCACCAGCTCCAGGGATAGTATTGAGAAGGTTGACAGAGATAAGAAAGTTCTGTTACACTAGCCAGAGGGAGTCAGAGGCCTTTGCCCTGGCAAAAAAGGGTTTCTCTAAATGATATTCTCTTGATGACTCTAATATTTCATGACTATTAGAGGCTATCCCATAATTTACAAGTGGGATTTTATTTTAAGAGGGAAATCCAAGGTTTATAGGAAACATGAGCTGCAGAAGAACTCCTCCCAAACATTAATAGTATCCTCTGAAATCCAATCTCCCCACAGAGTATATAACATTACTCTTGCTACGGAAGGAAGACTGCAGGTGGCTTCCAGTCTGTTTGTATTAATAGGATTATTTAGGAGCAGAGGAAGAAGGGGAAAAAAGCCAGTGCTAATAATACAGCCAAAAAGTGCTCGGATGGATCTCATCATACTATTCTTCAGAGCCAGGAATTCCTAACTTCAGTTTTCTTCACCAGCATTTTTTCATCTGGATTTTAACTACTCAGTTCTGGAGAATAATAGACTATTATAGCTAGAAGAAGCTTTAAGAGATTAACTAGTAACTCTTTATGTTACTGATGAGGAAACCAAGACCCAGAGGTAAAAATGACTTGCCCAAGGTCACTCAGCTAGTAAGAGGAGGGGTGAAATTAGAACCCAGGTCCCCAGACTCCTAGGCTTTTTAGCCTTCTTTCTAGATTGCCAGATTGACATTGATGTCTTTCAAAACCAAGAGCAGCCATACAGCTATGCCTGGAGGAGTAGGGGGTTGTCTGGAGACATCTACGTCATCCCACAGTGCCGTGTTCCTCAGTCAGGGATGAAGAATCCTCCACATGGTCATTTCACTGCATTAAACTCTGACGCTTCCTTTCCATTTTCATAATTAGCAATAGCCAGAGAAAGTCACCCTAGCTCTGGGTCAGAATCATCCTCACCTGGATATGACAGGGAAGGAGCCACTGAGTGGCAGCTGTCTGTCCCACAACTGATATCCGGCCACAATGAGGTCAGGGATTAAAAGAGTAAAAGATGTTTTGTTGTTGTTGTTCAGTTGTTGCAGTCTGCTTGTGACCCCATTTGGGGTTTTCTTGGCAAAGATATTGGAATGGTTGGCCATTTCTTTCTCCAGCTCATTTTACAGATGTGGAAACTGAGGCAAGCAGAGTTGAGTGACTTGCCCAGAGTCACACAGTTAGTAAGTGTCTAAGGCCAGATTTGAGCTCAGGAATATGAGTCTTCCTGACTCCAGGCCTGGCACTCTATCCGCTGCACCCCCCAGCTGCCCAATAAAAGAGGCGGAGAGGGAAATAGCACCGAACTGCTCACTAGCCAGGCAAGGGTTTATGCCTGATGGTCTCACTGGGCAGGACAGGTTTCTCCAATGCACATAAATCCCTACTTTCTTGGTTAACAACAGGACAGAGTTTCGTGGTGCAGCAAGGTAAAGATACCAAAGAGTAATTATTACCAAAGTAGAGCATTCAGGTGCCAATAGAGAAGCAGTTTGGTAGAGGACATAGCAGGCTAGCCTTGGAGCCAGGAAGACCTAGGTTCAAATCCTACTTATATTTGCTGTGTGAGGGTAGTGAGGTCATTAAACCTCCCAGTGTCCACACAATTGCTATAAATTGGTGATAAGTATCTGTGGAGGGAGTTTCCAACACTGGGAGTTCCCTACACCATTAAAATCACTGATCTCAACTCCTCAGTCCCAAAATAAGGGTGCTACAGAGAGCTTCTAAGTAACCAGACATTTTTTCAAACAACTAACAGCACTTAAAATTTCCAAAGCATTTTATATACATTAATTAATTAATTTAGGCCTCACAGAACCTTGTGAAGTAAGATTTCCAGGTTTTACATTTTATTCTCATTTTACAGAAGAGGAAACTGAGACTCAAAACAGTTAAGTACGTTGCCCAGGGTCACATAGTTAATAAGCATCATAGGTAGGATTTGAGCCCAGGTTTTCATGACACCAAGTTAAGCACTCTTTCTACTGTACCACACTGCCTTTTGAGCACCAAATTGTACATAGCAGACGTAGATCTCAAAAAAATTAATATTTTCTCTTAAGAGAATCTGTGCTCAAATTATGAGAACGTGTAACATACATTTTTTTCAAAATCTTCATTGCCTATGAAAATGGTAAGGCTAAGAGAAGGCTATACAGTACAGTGCATTTGGCCCCAGCTTTCATAGTACATTTATGCCTTCCATATCCTGGGGTTAAAGGTGTGGTACCCCCAGGATCTGGAAAATTCGTGTAAAATTTTTGGCCCTCCTTTCACACCAGAGAAGAAGTCTAAATTTTTCTTTTTCTTTTATGGGGTGTGCACAGCACCTTACTGTAAAATTTGGGTTAAGTATTTGATCACAGGCTCTCTGTCATCTATTGGTCTCTATGTGCCGTCTGTGGCTTCCATAAAACTCCCCAAAAGTTCCCATTTAATTTCTTATGCCAACCCACGATATATCAAAACAGTGATGGGAAAAGTCACAATGTGGAAGGGATAACTGCACTCTGTCCCAAAAGTACATTGTACCCATAAGAGTAGTAATGCATAAAGAGGTATTTTTTACTATAGGAAATTTAGCAACTACTCTATACGATCACTGAGCAGCTAGGTGGCGCCATAGTGCACAGAGAGACTCATCTTCCTGAGTTCAAATCTGGTCTCAGACACTAAATAGCTGTGTGACTCTGGGCAAGTCACTTAATCCTGTTTGCCTCAGTTTCCTCATCTGTAAAATGAGCTGGAGAAGGAAAGGGCAAGCCTTTCCAGTATCTTTGCCAAGAAAACTCCGAGTGGGGTCATGAAGAGCTTTCACAACTGAAAACGACTGAACAGTCAACAATTACTATGATCACCAAAATGTAGTATAGTACTCAGCCACAGGAATAAGGACTAGACCTGGGATTTCAGCAGTGTAGGTAACTTTTGGTAATGAAAGTCCCTCCATCAGTGCAGGTCAGCATCTTCTCTGCAATCTGCAGTCTTAGAAAAGACTTACCCAGGGCACAAAGCCAGCATGTGTCAGAAACAGGACTTGACTCAGGTCTTCACATCAGCTCTCTCTCTAGTTACTCCACACAGACTCTCAGCCATACTACTCCCAAAAGGACAAGATAGCTACCATCAGCCTATTTCACCCGGACCATCTAGTGGTTGGAGAACTGAGTCTTAGAATGGGTGCAAATGAGTGACAAAAATATAAAACTCTAGCTACTTCTCTCTCTGCCTCGATTTTGCCTTCCCTAAAATGAGGGAGATTAATTACGAGGATCTTTATTTTTTTTTATAGGCAGTTGGGGTTAAGTGACTTGCCCAGGGTCACACAGCTAGTAAGTGTCAAGTGTCTGGTCTGAGGCTGGATTTGAACTCAGGTCCTCCTGACTTTGGGGCCAGTGCTCTATCTACTGCGCCACCTAGCTGCCCCTACGAGGATCTTTAAGAGCCCTTCCTTATCTGATGTATTATTTTCTCAGATTTCTTCCGACTCTGACATTATAGGATTCTGTACTTTACCAGGCCTCCCAATTTCCTCTTCCACCCCAAGCATGGCTGCTGTTACTTTGGCTTTTCAAAGTGATTTAGAATTTTAAGATCCACATACTCTACCTGAATAGAAGAGCTATTATTATCAAAGTGTGGCCAGCTGAT